TCATGAGCTTTTGTAGATCTTCATACCATTCTTCTAGTATGTCATCTGGCTTATCTGCGGTTGGTGCATAGACCTGAATAATATTCACATTAAAAGGAGAACTCCTTATTTGCAACAGCATTGCTCTGTCAGAGAGTGGTATAAAGTTTGAAACTGCGTTACTCAATTCATCGTTTATTATTACACCTACTCCATTGAAATGTTTTGGATCATTGTTGCCTGAATAAAAGAGTGTTTTGTTCATAATTTTTGTTGTTCCTGAGTTAGGCCATCTAACTTCACTCAGACCTAAAATATCTATATTCAATCTGTTCATTTCATGGCACACGTTTGCTAGCTTTCTAGCCTCATAAAGGCTTCTGACGTTCCAGGTCGCTACTTTGACGTCATTGTTTGTTTTAGTTTTGTATTTGTTTTTGTTCCTCCCGGGGATTCTTAGCACCCCCTTAACATTTAAGTTCTGCCGGGCACTGGGGGCCATCGATTTAGTTCCATTTACCATCATAACTTTCTTGGGAAAATTAATGAGGTGGTTTCCCATTGCCTTCCTCATGTTTTCTGTCAGGGGTTTCTCCCTTATCCGGAGTGTTCCAGTTTTAAGGCGCCGGAAGCTCGCCTTTCGCCTTTCCCGTTAGCGTTACCCAGGAAGTACCACGTGGAGGTGGGAATCGGACTTGCTAACAGACGTAATGTTTAACTATTCATACCAGGTTTTATTGCCACATACCTTCCGGTAAGACATGTGATCCCAGAGGTCTATCGTTAGCCATTCACTTCCCAAGCAGTAGCTAGTTTGGCTTAAATTTCATGTGTGAAACTATGATGCTAGATAAAAAGTATGTGTTTTATCTCGCCAGGTATTAATGCCATCCGGGTAAAGGACCATAGAGTCAACTGTACTTTAGTTTGCGTAATTTATATTTATTTTGACTAATGTCGTCTTCACTTTATTTTTCTAATTTAAAATGTATAATATATGTTATTCTGGGGAAATTTAAGTAAATGGTAAACAAGTCAAGCAAAATATTATTCTTTATCAATCAATCGATCCATCGAGTTAGAATCTAGATTCTAACTCGATAATTCAACCCGATGTTAAGTATACCAGTGTCGTAATATATATATACTAATAACTAATTTATTTAATTATATGGTACATGGTAATTACCTTTTATGACAAAGTCCTTAATAACCATTATTACAGGAGATGCAAAAAAAGTTATTTATTAAAATAGGAGCTTATTTACCAAAATATAAGCGTCACATTTTAAAGTTAGCTACAAATATACAGAGTCTTCGATAACACTATATCGCATCAAAACTATCTTTTTGTTAACCCTCTAGTGCATGAATTAAATTTTAAGTAAATAAATTCCTCATAATTTTAGAATAGAGAAATGTGGTTATAAAAAGTAGACATTTATTGTTATAATTTAATTTAGATAATAAAAATAAAGCCTGCAGCCTAAAACAGGTTGGCCGCCTATTCGCTCCGTGCGTGACTGATGCGACACCTACCGCCTTCATCTGACAATTTGGGAATCCCAATTTTCAGGTTAAACATATGACATATGTTTGACATTGTTAAATACATGCGAAATTGACAATTATTAATAAATTAGTTTTTTAACTATATTTTTTCAGTTTATGTACAAAATAAATGTAGTATTAAAAACTGGGTTTCTTAAAATTCATCATAATATATCTTTTCAACTCCAAACGGACAAGAAAGGGAAAAATCTAGTACTGGCAAATCAAGTTTTTCACGCAAAAGAGCATATAATTAAAAACAATAATAGTAAAAGGTATGATATAAAAGCTAAAGTCATCTGCAGTTAGCTGAAGCCTTATGAAATATCATTCAAGGTAAATTATTTAAATTTTTTCTATTTCAATTGCATAAAAATGAAATTATGTGATATTTACTTTTTCATATTAATAGCACGAATTCATCTTTTTCTTTTCTCTAATTTATATGTAATCTTTGGAAACCTATGAAAACTACACTCACCATTTTTGCAATTATTAGCACAATTAAATACGCAACATGTATTTGCACGCATTTTTGATAAAATTTATGCGTAAAAATATTTTGTCCAATATTCCAATTTTGTCATATTTCGCCGCTACGCACGCTGGCATCGTTTCAATGTACCCCTACCATGGTCACGCACGGAGCGAATAGGCAGACTTGTGCAGTAAATATATAAAATCGTAGCATGTAGTAGTTACTTTTATTAAAAACAACAATGGATACAAAGGTACAAAAATTATCTTAGTGTGGCTAACTTATGATGGAAATCATAAAACAGGTTTTCGTTGTTGAATTGCACAATGATTAGTTGCATTTAACACAAAATGCTTGTGTTTCCGAAGTGCATTTTGGGAATTTGCATTTTCTTTTGCCAGATCGGTCCTTGAAAACGCACCAATGACCAATCTGATCGTAGCGGACATCTTCGGTTGGCAAGTATAGTTTCTTTTTTGATTTTGGAGAATCTTGAGATGTTGAAGAGCTGGGTCGCCCAACCTTTCTTCTCTCTGGCACTACTCCGTACTTGCATAGCGATTCAGCAACTTCCGTCCGAAACATTGGGAGTTCGAGTTTTTGCCTGTCGGGATGGATTCGATGATACAGTATGTATGCATTTACCATTGCTACATCGATGAGATGGTAGAAGATCCGATAACTCCATTTTTTTGTTTTCATTCGGATATGATACCTCCCCAGTAATCCATCCATCAAATCGACACCTCCCATGTGTCGATTATATTCTGTAATAATATGAGGGCAATCTACTTCAATGTGCTTCTTCTCTTTTTTGTTCCACCTTCTTGCCTTTTGTGGTCCTGTGTCAATATTTCTGGATGCAAATCGCTTGGTGCCAACGTAACTTGACATAAGTCGTACGGTTTTAGTATCATGCCACAGTACTGACGAAATATCGATCCCGTAAACATTACCAACGTACTCCTCTGAATACCCGTGGTGCACTTTCTTTTCAGTTAGAGCAGCATCAGTAGAAAATTTGCAATTGGGCACACGATTTGCACGTACGGTGCCTAAACTGTAAATTCCTCAGCTGCGAAGATATGTAATAAGACCTAACGAGGTGTAAAAATTGTCAAAATACACAATGTGGTTAACAAAATTTGGAATATGTTTTGACAAACGAACCACGACGTTTGACGATGCCCCAAGATCTGGAACGCCTTCAAGAATAACATTATCACCAGCACCCAAGTAAACTTCAAAAGCATGTGAAAAACCAGTAAAGTCGCAAAGAGCAAAAAATTTAAATCCCCACTTATGAGGTTTATTTGGCATGTATTGCCGAAGAAAAGTTCCAGTCATTTTTGTTGCGCATATTTGCTCGTCAACATAAAGCCGGGAAAGCATTGGGACTGACACGAACCTTTCGTTAAAATGTGTTATAAGTGGGCAAATTTTATGTAAACGATCATGCCATGCTTGTTTTTCTCGATTGCTGCAGAATTATCATTAAAATGTAGATAACGGCGAATTGTCTCAAATCGCAATACTGGCATTACCTGGCGAATTTGTTCAAATGCATGTCTTTCCCAATAAGATCGGACATTTGGGTAGCGATAAATTGACATGTAAATCAAAATGCCGATAAACCGGCGAAGTTCAATTGGATCTACATTGAATGTTGTATTAATTTTCTGTTGACGTGCATAAAGATTGGTTTGCAGAGCAAGCTCGTCTAATAGTTCGTTGTTCACAAAATAACTAAAACAGTCATATGGTGTGTTCAAAGCACTCAAACCGTCTGGCAATTGTTTTTCTCCGCGAAATACCAATTCGTTGATGTGTAATTGAAGGTGTTTCTTCTTCCAAGTAATGGACTTAAATTTTTGACTGTCGTTCTTTATTGTCATGATGTTTCCAGTAAAGTCTCCTGAAGTGGAAACACTTCGTCCGTCTTCTTCTTCTTGTTCATCTGCCAGTTCTGGAGATCGAGGCCGTTTCGGACAGTTGGAACTTTGATAAGCAGCTGTATCACTTACACTAGGTTGAGTTGGTACAGTTTCTGCAACTTGTACTTCGGAGATCTCATCTAAGGTCTCTGTTATTGATGTATTCCCAAGCGAAGTCGTAGGTAGCTTACTAAAATTGTCACTCACCACAAAATCGGGATCCATAACACTGTCATCGCTATCGAAATCCCCTTCCTCCTCATCACCGGTGTCGTTATCAGAATCAATGGAATCCAATAGGTTTCTAATGTCCTCATCCGACATTGTTGACAATTTGTAACATTTTTGCGCCATTACTAAAAAAAAACACTCACTGTACCATAATACTTAGAAAAATAACATAAAGAACAATAAGAAATAATACTAAAAAAAAACCATAATAACAATTTTATACACTGTAATGCACAGGTCTGCCTTGAGGCAGCCTCTAATTTTTTAACTGTTTGTAATAATTTACTTTATTTATTGCATAAACTAACACTAAATACCTAAAATATAGGTTAACAGGTACTCACCGTAAATTTTGTACAACTCTATGTCCTTTAGAAGTATTTTTAAAAACTGTTTATTTACACAAAGCAATTATGCGTCCGCTTCCGATGAAATCATAACTTCAACTGAATTTTGCTGACAACGAACACGTGCAGAGACGGCAAAATATATCTCATTGTATGCGGTAAACACCGCCTGTAGACGGCTCAGTGCTATACGGTTAAAATAATATTGTATGTACCTGAAATCACAACTTGAAGAAAGCCCGCCTTGAGGCGGCCAAATGCACTAGAGGGTTAATGAAACACCCTGCATTTTATTTTAAATTTATAAACCGTTTTACTTCCTCGTTGCAAAAATATAAATTTGTTTTGTGTTCTACGTTTGGTTACTTGATTGCAAAGTAACCAAATTTCAATAAAACTCGTTTTATATATTATGATAATATTATATTGTAACGTACCGTTTACCAAACTGAAATCTAAAAGCATCATCTCATTTTTTAGATCAAATGCCTTTCGGAGCTCGATGTAACTTCGAGGACGATTGGTGCGGCTGGCAAAATGTTGACGTTAAGGTTTTGGAATGGATCCGGCACAACGGATCGACACCTACAAATTTCACAGGGCCCAATTACGATCATACGTATAAAAATAGTACTGGCAAGTACCTCTATGTAAATATGCTGGCTGATAAAACCCAGTTTGCAACGTCTGCTACTTTAAGAAGTGTCGACTTTAATCCACCACCAAGAGTTCATGGTAATTCTTCGTCTAGATATTACAATTCGTGTGCTGTAAGTATTTGTCTTTTTAAAATATAGAAAGTATATTAATATTGTTTACGAAAAATTATCCTGATTACTATTTAGGTTACTTACATGATACACATTTTTTAATTATTATCAACATCAACAACGTAAGGTTCTTAGCTGAATATAGGGGAAATAATTTAATAATAATAATACTTGTTTAGAATTAAACTTGAGAGGTCGCTGGTTAAATTATATCAGATAAATAATTATAACGAAAAATGCAATAGTGGTTGGTCCCCAAAATGGGTGAAAATAGCAACTATAAATTGTAAATAAGTTATGAAATCAACTGGTTTACTCATTTTTAATGTTTTGTACAAAGTTTTATAAGGCTTACCCTTTGGTTCTACTGATGAGTTCGTACCAAGCTGAAGAGTTGGTCGGTGGTACCGACGGTAGCGTCGTCGTCCGAGGCTTAGCACGAGAACCGTCCGGAACTAGATGCGTGTCGATCGATCGTTGTCTGACGAAGAAGTGCGAGCGAATCTTGAGGGTTTGAGAGCGTTTCGGGCACAAACCAGCCTTTAACTGTAGGGTGGTCACCAGTTCGTAGGCCGGGCATGCCATAAATCAACCATTGGTTTCAATCTTTCTGACATAGAATACAAAGAAAAAAGCCCAATTCTGCGTACTTTAACATGATAAATAATGAGAGCCAGTTTAAGTTTTACGAACTCACAGGAAATAATATATTTTAAAAGATCTTTGAAATACAGCACCCAAATCAGGTCATATTACAGTACCGTAACAGAAAAAATATTAACTGTAAAAATATGAAATGAATGCGCACATAGTTTCCCAAACAATACTTTTAATTAGCGACATTTATGGAGATAATAAAATAAATCCGTTAAAATTATTTTACAGTCACTGGTTGATTGTAATACATGCATAAAGCATGTCATTAAAATTACCTTCATTACAGAGAGATCTTCTTTAGACGCCTTCTAATGGAGGTTGGTGATGAGTTCTGCAAATTCATCCCTATTTTGGGCTGTTCTTATTAACCCTCTCACGCATTGAGTCCACTGCAGTGGACAGATTCTTTTAACTCCAAAAAATATATTTTAATTCTCTGAAACTTATGCAAAATGCATGAAATCCCTTTCAGTGGACTCTAATCAAGTAACTACTACCGCCATCTACAATATTTATTTTGAAATTCAAAGTTTGTTTATGTTAGTATCTATGAATAACCTGACCGCGATGACCACCTGTGAATTGCCTGAAATAAGTGCCCGTAGTTTTTATGGAAAAGCAAACAAAAAGGTAAGAAAATATTTTTCTTATAGAATTATGTATTTTACACAATTTGCCCTTGTTATAATTTCAAAATAATTGAAAACTCACCGAAAATATCGCCTTGAAGTCATGTCCACTAGACTGGACGTCATGCAATATGTAACTTAGAATTTCACTCTTGTGGTATGTTTTATGAGTATAATTTTTAGATGGGTAGCAGCTTTCTTGTTCACATATTTTTTGCTTTTCTTGTCAAAGATTTATTATTGATTTAGGGATTTTCGAGGGCATTTTTTTATGTACTTACCTATATTATTTTGGTACAAATAAATAAATTTTATTTATTGACATAATATTACTTCTTCAATGGGAAATTTTATTCTATTTCAGAAAGTACTTTTTGCCGATGAAGACGACAATAGCCACAGTTTAGAGGAACAGAAAATATTCATGTTCAAGGAAACAATCCAATTGATTATTTTTTATCACTGTTCACCGCAGACATAATGGATGATATCGTTTTTCAGACCAATTTATATGCTGGCCAAAACAATAAATTAAATTTTGGTTTTAAAAAATATGAGTTATATGGTTTCTTGGACATAAATTTAGTGATGGCGTACATCAGGTATCCCAGAATACGGCTTTACTGGTCAAGTGATAATGGCCTGAGAATGGACCTTATTGCAGATGCTATGCCTGTTAATAGATTTGAATCTATTTTGAGGTTTTTACATTTCGTAAATAATGATAATGTAAATCAAAATAACACGGACAAATTGCGAAAAATCCGACCATTTTTGGATAAAATTCAGAAAAACTTCTTAGGTGCCACAGATCCAGAGGAATACCAATCAGTTGATGAGCAAATTATTCCACTAAAAGGAAAATTAGGTATAAAGCAATACTTACCAAAAAAACCTAAGAAGTGGGGAGTCAAAGTTTGGGTAAGAGCTGGAATTAGTGGATATATGTATCGTTTTGAGGTTTACCAAGGAGCCTCAGGAGACAGAAGTCAAATTAGTAAACTTGGAGCGTGCGCTGATGTAGTTTTGCGTCTAACTGACGACTTAAAGAGAATAAATCATAAAGTATTTTTTGATAATTTATTTTGCTCACTTCCCTTTATCGAAGAACTGCATAAAAGAGGTATATGGGCGACAGGAACTCTCCGATTGAATCGACTACAAAATTGTAATTCTGTTATGAAAACAGATAAACAAATGAAACAAGAGGGTAGGGGAACTTCATCTGTTGCAAGTACTGAAGGTGGCAATATAATTGTATCTAAATGGCTAGACAACATGACTATTTACATTGTTTCCAATTGTGCTGGAATAGAACCTAAGAATAAAACAAAACGCTGGTGTAAATCTACTAAGACTACTATAGAAGTGAACAGACCATTTTCTGTTCAGTTTTATAACAAAAATATGGGAGGAGTAGACCTGATGGACCAGTTGTTGGCCGTGTATCCTCTAAGGAGAAGAAACAAACGCTGGTACATAAGAGTTTTTATGCATTTTGTGGATGTTCTTGTTGTAAATGCATGGATTTTGTACAAGAAAAACGGAAATCCAAAAAAAAAGATCTGCTTGAATTTAAAGCAAGTATTACCAGAGCATTAATAAATTTGGGAACACAGAAAGAAAATAAACGAGGTAGACCTTCGTCTGGTACACCACCTCCCATTTTGAAGAAAAAGAAACCGAATCATCATGCACCTCCTGAAATTAGACAAAGTAATTGGGGGCACTGGCCACAACTAATTGATATACCAAATGCTCGAAGATGTCACTCTAAAGCTTGCAAAAGAAAAACAAAATACATCTGCAAAAGGTGCAATGAGCCGCTGTGTCCATCGTGTTTTGAATATTTTCATACCAGTAACTGAGGCTTCCGCGATTCTGGAAGTGCATAGTGACCACTAGAGTGGACGGACTATTTTTTAGGGTTTAAGAAAAAATTTTTATGTTTTTTCACTTAATATACTATTTTCTAATGTTAATTTTCAATATTTTGCAATAAAATAATTTTTCTAAGAAAAAAAAATTTTTTTTCTAAAATTATACATGAGAGGGTTAAGGTTTTGAGGTCTAGTCCTGTCCATTTATTGATGTTACGCAACCATGTCAGATATACGAGGGATTGTTGGAATGGGGAGGAGATAAAGAATGCGTTGAGATAAAAATCAAAGATGGCGGCATTGCCAAAAGGATACTCAGCTTGTAACGTCTAAACGGCTCAATATACAATAACGTCTAAGGTATTGATAGAAAGAGGTGGGAGTAAGGAATATGTTAACACAAATAACAAAGATGGCAGCATTGCCAAAAGCACACTAAGTTTGTAACGTCTAAACAGCTCAACGTACAACAACGTGCAAGGTATCGATGGAAAGGGGAGGTAGTAACGAATATGTTAAGATAAAAAGCAAACGCAAAGACAATGCCAAAACGGCACTATGGCATATCTCCGTTGTTATTGGTCAGATAGTGACGTTGTTGAATTATGATAATTCGTATATTGTAACAATGTAACATTGTATTTGAGACAAAAATAAAAAATAGTATAGAAAGGACAAAAAATATGTAGGAAAATTTATTTTACTAGCTTTTTAAACAAAGAATTATACAGAAAATTAGTAGAACCAACGGAGTAAATAGCAAAGTAACAAAACAAAATACCAAACAAGATTTTGTAATTTTGTAATACTACAAAAAATAAATGATGAAGCAGTTGGTAGAATCACTTGCTAAAAAAAAGAAGTATTATATGTTTTAGACGGACGGTCTAGAATTCCGACCAAAAATAAAAACATGAGTTGAATTCGAAGACCAAATCGCAATCCGAAAACAAGTCTCAACAATTAGAAGCAAAGAGACAAAAGAAAGCCAAAGAAGATTACTTCCAAAAGATTACATAAAAAAAGGAAAGAAACAAGCCAAACAACAGGCGCCGGCGAAAATCCAGCTGTCACAAAAGTCAAATCTTTTTCTAAGCAGACTAAGGCCTTAGCAAAAAAATTTCAACGAATAATTGCCTTCTCTGTCGAAGAAGGACAGAGCAGTCAAATAAGAAATGGTAGAAACAAATGAAAGAACACAAAGTCACGAAGAACAAATAGTAAGAGAAACCACAAAAAAGGTAATTAAATTCCAGTAAATTAATGAAACAGGGGCTATTTTAAAAACAGCTTCAGAACAAAAAACTTACGCGGTAAACAAAATATTAAAATTACTTATTATTATTATATAATAAAAAAGGCTGTAGACTACCGTAAAGTCATACACATCCTTGATGAATACAGCAAGAAAAAAGATCCAATGAATTGTATTCCCATTGGCAGAAGATGTTAATCCAAAGGTGGTAATCAGGAGATTCCAGCAAACCAAGATCTAAAAGAAGTTGCCGAGTAGTTAGGCGTCATTCATAATGTACCTACATCCAATCAGCTTACCAATATGAAGTCAAGAAAAGAAGGCAAAAAACCGCCTCTAATGCACATAATGGACATGGAAAAAAAGAACTACGCAAAATAAAAAATATCACTATCAGATACATGAAAGTGATCCTAGACCTGGGAAAAAACAACGGCCCCAACCGTTTGTAACCTTTATAGCGCATCAGCGTGTCATTGGAGGTGGAGGATGGTCTGGATCATTGGAGTGGGGTGGAGTGGTTCCTGATTTATTCGGACCAATCCCCTTTATTCCAATAAATTCTAACACCTACATGTCATTTTCTAAGAGTTGTACATTTCTCATAGGCTGGGTTCGGATTTATTTCTTGCTTGCTTGCTTAACGATCAAGTAACAGTATACAATTAAGTTGACAAAGACACTCATAAACCAATTATGATTTTGGTTGGAAAAAATGGCCAAAAGTTGTATTTTATTTTCTGATCAATACAAACGAAATATATGCTTTTGCCATTTACAAATGCGATACGAATGACACACTAGAAAGAAGAAAGGTTCTTACAAGTATTGCAATTTTAGAGGATATCAAGAATTATTTTTAAAATTTTGTATTTATACAACTTGTTTTTCCCATGATAATATATATCCAGAAATATCATGTGTATGTTTCTTTAAGAATAAATTGTAAAACTGAAAATCTTGGATAATTTTTGACACATATAGAACATACGGCATAAAGACGGTGTCTGCAATCACCGAAAACACACCGAAAGAGTGACTTTCCCTGAGTCACCGTCCGAGTGTTAATAGGATAATGGAAATAGGAGATATTCCAGATAAATAAATCCCCTCATTATTAGTTTATAAAAAAACGGAATATTTAATAATGTATAAATTATAGTGCCATAAGACTACTTAGTAGCACTATAAATATGCGAGTGAGTAATTTATAGATGGCGACATGAAGAAACCTAAATAATTGAAATTCAGTTTCTATATCTGCAAGGCAAGTCAACAGCGGATAAATTTTTTTCGTAATACACAAAAAAATATATCACTATATAAAAATAAACGTTCATACGGTTTTATTGATCTTAAGGAATCATGTGATAGAGCAAATGGGCTCTATCATATAATCAAGTTTCTGAGATAAGCACTCAATAAAGAAGTAGTTACCGGCGACTATGTGACGATTATGAGAAATAAATATGTGATGTATTAACTAGTGGGGACAGTTGTCAGCTGATAAATTGATTAGAATTTCATAATACCTAACTCCTTACTCATTCTTTAATCTGACTCGTCCTTATTTAGTCCTAATTATCTGATATTGTTCATAATATTTCAAACTGCATTTCTATTTCTCACTTTTATATAATAAATATACTTTCTTGCAGATTCGGTTTTATCTTCATAAGACTGGCAAACATAAAAGCGCTATTTTATTACAAATTACAGAACTCAGACCACATGAAAACGTTTCCACAGAAATGTTGTGGAGCTTCAATGACCATGGTGATCAATGGGTTAGACAAGTTATTATTTTACCAAATATTACTTATAGGTACGTATTTAGTTCATATTTCATATTATTACAAGTATTCTGTTTAAATGTGTATTGATTTTGTTATTAAATAATTTATGTGCTTGAGTGATAGAGCGATCCCATATTGTAGAAGTTAGTAGGTTGATATCAAAAAACACACAAAATTATCATTTATGATCTATATATAATGATTGTTTTTAATTTTTAATTTATTTTAACTAAAATTGTAGTTAATTATTAAAGATAGTAAATAATACTAAACTACTACAAAAAATAGTTTCAGAATAATAACACAGCATACATATCTATACAATGTCTTCTTCATTGTTTATTTTTTTTTAGTGGGCAAAAATGCCAGTGGGTTCAATTTTCGGTATGTTTTAAATCGTCATTATTGCGTTTTTAAGTAGTCCAATGCTTCTACTCTTGTTTTTTGTACCCATGTGTTAATTGAAATTATTTGCACTGTTCTTGAATGTCTTCACTTCTTTCCCTATCGTATAAAGTTTTGCTGATTATCCTTGTTAGTATTTTCATCTCTGTTGTTTCCATTATCCATTATTTGCTTTGTTCTACCTGTGATAGGCGTTGCTTCTGCGTTTGACGTCATAATGCGGCGTAATGATGTCTTGTACATTCTCAGCTTTTGCACATTCCATTACTTTCTATCCATTTAATCTTTTTTTGATGTTTGAAATTCTAGCCCTCAATGAGAGCTTTGAGTAGGATCTGAGTAGTAATCTAACTATATATTTGCGCATCTATAACTTCTGCAGCTCATCACCTCTGTTTCATGTCTTGAATCTATTATTGACCATTTTGACTCAATATTTTTCAATCAGGAGAGGTCCAGGTTACCTTGTGTATATTCTTGTGTTCAAAATAGGTACCAGCGACTGTCATGTTTAGTACTGCTGCCAAGTCGTAATTCATTATCGATACTGATGTTGTGTAGGCTATATCTTCCGAAAGTGGGCATAAAAAGTCGCTCTTTGTTAATATCCCCACGAAAAATAATCTAAAGGTGTCAAATTTAGGGATCTTGCTAGCCATTGGATAGTTCTCTTTCTTCCAATCCAACGACTTGGAAATGTGTTGTCTAAAAACTCACGAATACCTCGAAAATAATGAGGAGGTGCTCCTTATTATTTTCATGATGCAATTTTTCCTTTTTATTTTAATTATTTACGAACAAGAGTTTGACTGATTTGATTTTTGATTGCAATTGTCCTAGTAGCCTTATGAGGATTTTCAACCATCGACAAAAAAATGTCAGTTTTTGTTTCCTCTGGAATATTAGGGCCACGCTTTGGGAGTTCTCGTACATGTTGACCTTCCTCAAATTTATAAATAATTTTAGATACAGTCCCATGTGCTATAGGAAATGCCGCTTTCTTACTTACTATTAAATATTTCACATTCACGTGTTCGGTTTCTACAAATAATGTCACAAGTAAAACATACTAAAATTTCATATTTATTTGGTATTATTACGTGTTAACTTAATTATTTTAGTATTAAAATTTTAATTTTTTGATGTTCTGTTATATGTACACTGTTAAGACTATTTTAAGTTACTTTATACAAAAATTCATATATTTTAGGTATTTTATTCGATTTGAAGCCAGAAAAGGTATTAGATATATAAGCGACATTGCCATCGACGATGTGTCGCTGAGTCCTGAATGTTTTGGACTTAATATACCGAAAGAGGACCTCAATGGCTACAACTACTGGGATAATAGAGAACACGAAGGTCTTAAAGAAACTAACAAAGCATTTGTTAATAAAACAAGTAAGTTCATAGTAAAATATTTTATGTCATACTAGTTCATTATTGTGTTTTTATTGCTTAGTTACCAACTACATAATAGGATAGCTACTATATGTCCGTGCGGACATAAAGTGTATTTTATGGCCCGCACAGGCGTAAAGACAAAAAAAAATTGATAACTTCTTAATAGCTCATTTATTATGAAAGTTACAAAATGTAGAATTAAAATATTATAACTCGCTGTAGTTCCATCCCTCCTTGTGCAGTATTGAGCTCTTATGCGTTTCTTGGCAAAAAGTGTAAGATTGCTGACTGACCAGATCAGCGTATCTTCTTTCTTATTTATTCTCTGGATAAACTACGTACTAGTTCCTTCCATTATCTTCTATTTCTTGCTCTGATTGGTATTTAAGTACTTGTCTAGTTGTAATTTTTTCCTCTTTCCTCAAAGGTCAAATTATTATAACTTCATAATCTCGTCGAAGGAGAACTGACAGAGGAAGTAAGTATATTTAGATGAGTTCGACAACGGTGCATACATTCACCACTCTTATTCAACGTCTACAGTGAAGTGATATTTCAAGAAGCTTTATTGGATATTGTGGAAGGTATTTTGGTCAACGGAAATAGCATTAATAGTATTAGATATGCGGACGATACGGTCATATTTGCAAGTGATATGGAAGATCTACAGTACATAATACAACATGTATACAATGCATGTGAAAGGTACGGACTGCAAATGAATCTCAAGAAAACGAAATCAAAGATATTCTCAAAAAAAAAACAACAAAATGTAGATATATATATATATATATATATATATATATATATATATATATATACAGGGTGACAATTGGCAATAGGACGATTTTGAACTAAATGAATACACAAGAAATTGCAAGAAAATACTATTTTATTAACATCAAAATGAAGCTTATATTATGCCATTTACAATCTAATTAATTATGGAAAATAATGTCATCAAGATGGTGACCATCACGTTGGATGCAGTTTTCGATCCTCTTTATGAAATCTTCCATAACACGCTCTAACATCGCTCGATCAATAGTCCGGATTTCCTGGCGGATTGCGTTCTTCAACTCGATCAAATTACGAGGTTTGCTAGAATATACACGACTCTTCAAATACCCCCATAGAAAAAAATCACAAATTGACAGGTCTGGAGACCTTGGAGGCCACGGTAAATCTCCAAAACGTGAAATGAGTTGTCCTGGGAACAGGTTGCGGAGAATATTCATTGAAGCATGGGCAGTATGTGCCGTGGCACCATCCTGCTGAAACCACACATTCCTTGGGTTTATCCCTTTTCTGCGTAGTTCTGGAACCAAAAAATTTTGGATCATGTCAACGTAGCGAATAGAATTAACGGTGACGGATTGGCCAGCTTCTTCGAAAAAATATGGCCCAATAATGCCAGTTGGAGCAATGGCACACCACACTGTGACTTTTTGAGAATGTAAAGGACGCTCATGAATATTTCGTGGGTTTTCAGGAGTACCTGTAGTTCTGTTTATTAGCGGTTCCGTCCAAATGGAAATGAGCTTCGTCACTCATTAGAAGATGCTGACCTAAGTTATCCTCCAAAAGAACTTGCATTCTCGTAGCAAAATCCTCACGTTGTTCAACATCTCTTTCCATTAATTTCTGGACAATCTGCATTTTGTAGGGGTGAAATTTTAGGTCCTTATGCAACATTTTTCTCAACGTTTCCCGATTAATGTTTAGCTCAATTGCATGTTTTCGGGCGGATCGTGTAGGGCTTCTGACGACGGCATCTCTCACTCGCTGTATGTTTACAGGAGTTGTTACTGTTCTATTCGGACCTTGTTGCTTTTTTTTCATAACACTGCCTGTTGTTCTAAAATTCTTTATCCATCTTAAGATTGTGTTGCGAGATGGAACCGCTCCACGCCTACCAATATTAAAGTGAATGCGAAAAAGCCGTTGCGTAATGATCACGGATTCTTGATTTCGGATAAACGTATCGTATGTAAACGTGCGATGTTCTACCGTCCAGTGCTCCATGTTTACTGAAATGGCACACTACTACAGACGTAGTAACGCCGCGCTTGTCCCCCTCTCCCCCCTCAAGCTTCGTACTATGCGTCCTAAAAACATCCGGGTCCCGATTGTCACCCAGTATATATATATATATATATATATATATATATATATATATATATATATATATATATATATATATATATATATCAATAAAACAACGATCGAAAGTCTAACAACATATAAATATTTAGGAATGTGGCTAACCGAAGATGGAGATCAAATAAAAGAAATCAGATCTAGAATAGAAATGGCAAGAAACACGTTAATAAAATTGAAGAACTTACTTTGCAACCGTAACTTTAATATAGAGATCCGCACAAGAATGCTACGTTGTTACGTTTTTTCTACTTTACTATACGGCATGGAAGCGTGGACAATAAAACAGTCTGAAATCAAAAAATTAAACTTCTTTTAGATGTGGTGCTACAGGAGAATCCACAGAATATCGTGGACTGAAAAAGTAACTAATATAGAGGTGTTACAAAGAATGAAGAAAGAATGTGAAGTCATAAAAACTGTTAAAATTAGAAAGATTCAATATCTGGGTCATATAATGAGGGGCAAGAAGTACGTATTACTTAGGTTAATTATGCAAGGGAAGAGACAAGGGAAGAGAAACCCAGGATGACGCAAAATATCCTGGCTAAGAAATTTGTTTCTCCACGATATTCATCAGTCAATTCAGTGGGGTCATGAGATGCTAGGAAAATATCTGCACTGGAAGCCGACTGCATAAGGTTCTATTCTTTTAGTAGGGACATAATTGTATGTGCCCTTGATTCGTAAAAACGACCGAAACTGGCCAAAAGTTGATTTGACATCTTATTTCCACCTTCTAGAACAAAAATAATAGTATTGCCAAAACGCGACACTCATAATATAATTGGGTTTTTCTACCAACTAACACAGATAATATAATAGTACTTACTTGATAGATACATCTTTTTCTTTGATTTAAAAATACGTTGCTCCCAAAAACCAAAGTTTTATCTAGTTAATTTACAAACAAACGACTTACTACTAACTAAAAATAGAAGTGTTCACATAAGTCAAGATTAACCTACAACTTTCAATATGCCATCTGTTAATCGAAACCTAAGTTTTGCGACCAATTCCCATTAAAACATACATAGAAAACTGTTGTGAAATAAATCTGAACTTTGACTATCCGAATAAGTCATGTCGTTTTTGAAAAAATGAAGCCATAATGGGTTATGTCAACTATTACGAAAACGCAACGCTGGGTTTTAATGGGTTAATAAGTCAGTTAATTAAATGACATCATCACTTAAAGGCAAATATTTATAGAACTTTTTAATTATTTATAAAAAACTTTTTCTCAACAACAAAATTTTATTGTACACTGCACTTTTATTTACGTTACTAAATACTACTATAGATACAAGTCAATATCATTTAAAAAAATCATATCACTTTAATATAAATTTGATTCTAAATAACACCCTTAATGGGCGTATATTATCTTATTACTTTTTAAAAAATACATTTCACATGTCTTTAACGTCTTTTCATTTCAAAACAATTTTTAATTTCTTCTGTCAACAGTTGATTGTTACCTCTCAAGGCGTAAAGTCACTTTTTCGAGCTGGGAAACTGTACGTTCCGTTAAAAAATGTAATAACTTATCATCGAGCTAGTGCAAGAATAATGGTCGTTACTCTAATGATGTAGTTTAAGGGTCATTTGACCTTAACAGTTAAAATTTTACCCCTTTTGTTTTCATTTTTAAGCTGTTATACTTATTTGTAGGTTTTTTACTGATGATGACTGTTACGATCTAAATCGTTCTGAAAATTTATAAATCCCTTTTGGATAATTTTAAAAATTTTAATAAAATGTTTATACCATTTTACAAAGCAAGTTCTTACTTCATTGCAAACTTTTTTTGCATTATTTTCTTATTTTTGTAAATATGAAGTGTGTTAATTCTGGAGACACGGATGCTGATTAAGCAGTACCATATGTGATTGCAATAACATATTTTGATATTAGAATTGATGAACAGAATAAAAGATCAGAATAAACTGGGCCCTTAGCTTACATGGACCATATAAGGTTAGATGATTAACAGGATCTCCATGTAAGATAAGGGAGGTGATAAGTAAGGTTCTTTTTAATGTTAAGGCTAAGGGAGAATGAAACGCATCTTTACTGAACGAAACCTGAGTTTATTCTGATCTCTAGTTCTTTTTAAATATCAAAACGTGTTCTAAACTATTAGACATAGGCTGCTTACTCGGCACCCGTGGGTCAAAAATTAATACATTTCATATTTAAAAAATAATTATACAATTACCTACTATATATTACACAATCTTTACTTAGTTCAGTATTAAATAGTCTTTGATATTATCTAATATTAATTAATCTTTCAAATACATATAAAAATCCTAATTATTTATCTCATCACACCGCTATACATTCAATAATCCAAAAGTTACAAATCACTCTGGGTAGAGAGGTCTTATAATATTGAAACTTCGTATCAAATTTGTTATCAAAATGTGCAGAATTTGTAAAACTACATGCCCGATATAGTCGAATTTTATTAGATCCATACACATGTAAATTGCTCTTCTCCAGGTCAAAACAAGTTGGTCCGCACTTAATTTGTAGTCACCTTCCTCGATACTCCGAATATCTTCCAACTTCGTTGTTCACTTTATTTCGTCTAACCATTATTTATTTTTAATTTTCATTCTAGATCGATCGCGCGTTGCTTTTAGTTTTGCTATAAATTTTACAAAAAACTTTTTCCAATATTTTTTATAACCATGTAAACCATAACATTATCTAACCATATGTTATTACTGGTAGAGCTCATTTTACATTCATAATTTGAAATACCACTTTTAACATGAGCGCGTACACTCCTAAACATTGAAAAAATATTTATTTTACGTCGATTTTATATATTAGTAAATTGATTGTTTTATGTGTTATGTGT